ATATATATATATATGTATGTATGTATACACCAAAGTAAAAATGAGCAATTAAAATATGTTAATTCAAAATTACTTGTTTTAGGGGGGGGAAATATTAAAGAAGGCATTAGTAGATATTTTTAGATCTATTTTTCCATGATTCGTAATAACCTGCCGTTAATTTCTACAATCTTCTAAAGGAACTAAATGCGAATTTGTCATAACTTCTAACCTTAAAGGAAATGTTACAAAATACATATTCCAGAAAATTTGGGGATAACAGCAGATTCAATAAAAATGGAGAAAAGAAGAAGAAGAGAAATGTGGAAATGAAAAATTCAAATATGTATGTAACTTAAGTCCATTTTACTGAAATTCACTCAGCCATAAGTCCATCATGCTTATAATCTTGGTTGTTTAAAAGCTTTTTTTATGATTGTTTTCTAAATACCAATGCCTTTGCAGGTCACTAGTGTTGGAACACCATATTACACTTAAACTTCTCTTTTTCCAAACTTAATGTTGTATTCTTTTTCTGTTGTTTATTTTCCTTATAAGTTATAAGTCTTCATTCAATAAAGCTACTCATGAAAATTACAGGGCATATCTCTTCAATAAGAAATTAAAAAGGATTATACTGATGTCTATAATTCCAACTGAAAACCTCACTGGAAAAATATAATTCAATCATATTGAAGGATTTTTTAAAATTTTATTAACTTGCCTTGGTACCACTGGAAAATTTAGACCATTCGAGATTAAGGAAAATCTTTGACACTTGTGGAAGTTATGGCTGAATAAAAATTTAAAAAGTATATTTGATGAATATAACCTACTTTTTTTGAAATTTTTTTAACAATCTTTAAACTTTTTTAAAGATGTACAAGTATTAAACAGATCAATTAAAAAAAAGGTTTTATTAAGATTAAAACAATAGCATAGCATTTTGATATACTAAATACTTACTGGCTTTCTCCACTTAGTATATTGGCTTGTCTCCTCAGAGTATCACCAAATGGGTGCTTCCCAGAAGATAATACATAATAAAAAACACAGCCCAGGGAAAAAATGTCTACAGAACAGGTCTACAAAACAAAATATTAATGAGCATCACAATATATTACAATCTCAAGACTAAAGGAAAATCCTGAATTACCGTTCTATTCTCTCCATTGAGCATTTCCGGTGCAATCCATCCATCTGTTCCTGTTATACCAGAACGTCTTGAAAATGACATTCGACCAACTTTCAATTTTTTGCACAAACCAAAATCTGATATCATTACTCGAACTTCTCCTCTATTATTTGGCATGGATAAGAGAACGTTATGCGGTTTTATGTCTCTGTGAACTAAAATTAATAAAATATTAATTTTTAATTTTTGTAATTAAATATCTGTTCGCAATAAACATCAGCAAATTTATTTTAAAAAGAAAAATTTTTAAAGTTGGAATGTTTTTTACTTTAAGTAAATATGTATTAGTAAAAAATATTGGTTTAAATATGTAAATGTGGCATGATTATTTTACATCTCTTTTATTTTCCTATACTTTTTTATTTAAAAAAATGTAATAATAATAATTGTAATAAATTATCAATAAATCTTACCAATATCCAAGGAATGAAGGTGCTCCAGACCTAGAGTTGCCTGATATAGTACATCATAAACAGTTATGTTTTTGTTCATAATGAATCGTTCTTCCACCCAGTCTTGCAATGTAGCAGCACAAAGTTCAAGAGCTATATATCGGAATTGTTTGTCTTCTTCTGTACAAAAATACCGTACTACATTTGGATGTTCATCTGATTCTCGTAAAAGATCAACTTCTCTATCAGCAAAAGTAAAACATTCTGGAAGAATCCGTTTAACTGCAACAGATCTGTTGTCAAAAGTGCCTCTGCAAAAGAAATATTACCTTCATATAAATTGCATTATTCAATGTAAAGGAAGAAAATGTAAAAAACCAAATAAGTATTCCATAAAACATCAAGAGCAATTATTTCATGAAAATTAAAAGTTAACAAAGTGAGATAGTAAATTTCGTAGTACTATAGCAACTCTACGCAAAATACTAAATGAGAACTGATACCACATGCCACTTGTGTAGAGGTGGTTACTGTCTCATTTGAGAATCATGAAATTTGCAACCGGACTTTTGAGAGGCTCAGTAACCACCTCTACACAAGTGGCATGTGGTATCAGTTCTCATTTAGTATTTTGCGTAGAGTTGCTATAGTACTATGAATCTGTATATATATCATATTAACTCGATATTACAAGTCTTTAAGCATTATCATTCATAAATAAACATTCAATATTTTTTCTCTAACTGTTTTCATTTTTTTTTTTTTTAAGTACTATTATTGTAGTATTTACAATTATTTATATTTTTTATAGTTAATAGAAATCACAATCTAAACCTAAATTGCTTATCCTAAGTATATAAAATATCTTATCCCAAAGTAAAGAATATATAAATATTGAAACATCGCTCTCTCTAACTAAGTTAAAGGAGTTAATTTATATGAGCAAGTTTCAATTACGTAATATTTTAGAGGTTTTTGAAATTATTTTTGCTTAAATTCTTAATATGGTTAAGTAGTTTATTGTAGAGTATTGCAGAATCTGATAAGGATCCTTCTTTGAGGAGGATTTTGCAGAGTACATCCTGCGATCGTTTTCCTTTCCTCTTGTATTGTATTGTATTGATATGTATATTTGTTTTGAATAAGATGATAGTTATTGTTTTTCATGAGCATAGTCTACAATATATAAAAATTGGACTTGGGATATCTATCTGTCGGTCTGTGAACAACATAATGACTTAAAAAGTAAACAGGATTTCCACCAAACTTGATATTCCCTGAATAATCTGGTTGATGTCGCTTCCACTTGAAGTTGGAACATTTATTTAATTTTTTTACATAAGCTTTTTACTTCTTTTTCTTAATTAAATCTGACAAAATTTGATCTTTAAATAAAGTCATGCACATTATTCTGAAAATGTGAGTAGTTTACTCGTAAGTTAGCAAGCAATAAAGGCAGTTTTAAAAACAAGATTTTTCTTAAAAGACACTCAAAATTGTTGGATTTTAGTAATATTCACCTAAAGAATTGCATTTCTGATGAGACTTGGATATTAACTTATCCTCAAAGAATGAATGTCAATATTGCATCATTTCAAAAAATTAAGATTTCCTCTTAAACCAATATTTTTTCTTGGCAAATCTAACTTTAATTTTTTTTATTTTTCAATAATATGCAATCTATAAACATATGCTTTACTTACTTGAAAACAAATGTGCCTTCACATCCTTTTCCCAATACTTCCTGGGTATTGAATGTAATCTTGCCAATTCTTATTATACCTTCACCTACGTCTTCAGGTAAGGCAGTTATTACTCTATTTCCAGTGGAACTTGACTTGCCACTACCTCGTGAACCTTGAGACATTTGTTGAAATTCACGAACCTATTGGAAAACAATATTTTACATTATAAATTAAACAATACAACGTGCCTTATCTTCTTCGAGAGAGGATAAAGTAAAAAATTGCAAAATTTTTCTATTACCTGAGTATGTAAATAATACAAGAATGAAAATATGCAGCCCATGCATACAATGAAGGTCAGTTTCAGAGCTTTGTTCTCTTGCTGATGAAACCATAGTTTCGCAGTACTGAACGAGAGAGCAACAAAGTCTTTGGACATGATGAATGTATAGTTGCCCTCCACAACTCTATCCCAAAACCCCAAAAATTTCTCCTCAGTTTGTGTTCCTATTGAATGCTTTTCAAGATTTTCAAATTTAAATGAAGAAGTTATCTTTCTATCTGTTGTGCCATCTCCTAGAATGGTTACACTTTTTGTCATAGATGTCAGAGGAGGGTGTGATTTGCCTCCTATTTGAAGGACAGTTTTGCTGTACTCTGGTACTTTGTAATGACCTGGAATGAAGACACTTTCTATTACGTAACAGACTTTGGAACTACTGTCTGTCTACCATATTGTTTTTGTTGGTTATGTAAAATAATAATTTCATGAAACTCAATAAAATTAATAATATATTTTAAAATAAAATTGATATTGATGCTTTTGTGGCCAATAGTGAGCATATAATACTGCATTTACCCTGTCATTCAACACCATAGTAGATGGAACATAAAAATACGTAAAGGTAACCTGATTACCTCATAAAACTATGAATTGATAACAAAGAACAAAAAGTATTTGTGTCTGGGATTAAGGCCAGGTTTTTGACATAACCTCTACTAACCCCTACTTAACTTCATCACATCAGATTTTTCACACACCCTCAAAAAATTTTAAAGAACAGTCTGGTGAGAAGGTTAGTGATCTGCCCAATGGTACAGGCAATCAGCTATACAACACAATGACTGTTGTCTCAGCAGGAGCCAATGCCACCTTCTATCAATTTTAATTCATCTGAATTAAGAAATCTGTTTGTAATACATCACAAAATCATTGCTAATGTTCTTGCACAAAAATTTTAATAATTTATAATAAAAGTAATAATTAATTAATTCATAATTTTGCAACACATTAGTGCACTAGTAATAACTGAATTTTCAACAAAGTAGCTCAATAGCTCCAATTTTCAAAATAATTGTCTGAATTTCAATCAATTTTTTTAATGAATTGCAATTTTGCAACTGCACAATTATATCATGCTTCAAGTTTACAATTATGGAACTTAAATTTCCTTACTAAAATATTTTAAAATAAAGTTGTGTATTTTTAATTCTTCGACTTATGGCACTTACATTTAATACATTGAAAGGAAATACGGTTCTTGAATTTATATCTACTTGTCAAAAAATTCTACCTCTTTCTATCTCTTTCTTTTTTTTTTTATTACAATTGGTTGAAAAGATAAAACAAGTTTGCAGTTTTCTTTTAGCCTCTGCCTTTAAATTCATTTTCTTTACTTTTAAAATGTAAATCTCGATCAGGTGTTTGGTCCAGTTTCCCTTCATCAATAGAGGAAATACTATGATGGCCCCCTTATTTTGCATATGGACATAAATTTAGCTTCACATTATGCACTTTTTTTTTAAATTTTTAACAGAAATAAACATTTTGGAGGCCCCTAATACTGAAAAGGGTTTGAAATCTACTTTTTATCTGTGAACAACACAAAGGAACTAATTAGTATAACATTTTTTTCCAAAATTAATAATGTACATTCTTAATATACATTCATAATAATATTCTTAATGTACATTCTTATAAGATTCAGTGTACCCCTGGCAAGCAGAAATTGATACTTTTTCAGCAAGGTTATCAAACCACAGGAGGGGATGATTCCCAGCATACCCCAGCTAATCCACACCCAAGTCTGTGACATAAGGCCAGCTGTACTGTACTATTTGTAATGCTTATGAAAATAGTAATTTAATAAAATTAATAATAATACATGTTAATATAAAATTAATCTTTTTTATGATTTTGTGGCCAATAGCCTGCTCAATCATGAGCATTACAATACCGAATCTATCCTGGCATTCAACACAATTCGTTTCCTTAGAAATAATGTCAATTAAGTTTCTTAAGCTTTCAAATCTTCCAACCTGGCATTCATTAGTAAACTTTTTTTTCCCCTTTCAAAATTCAATAACTTTACAGAAAATGTTACATATATTAATTACATATTTTAATTAACAATGATTTAGTTGTTTTTAGGGTAGGAGGGAGAAAAAACAAACAAAAACACTGATTCTGAGACCCCCAAAACTTGTTTCTGTTAAAATCTCTAAATTGATTTTTTGCACCACTACATAATTTTCCCTGTATTATGCATTTACTCTGAATTCAAGAAAGTATAACAAGCTGTTTATAAATGAAGATATCCAGTAAGAACTGTATATATTATATAATTCAAAAGAGGACATTTTTCATCTCACCAATTCTATGGTATAATATTTTTTTTATTTATTTTAACTTGATTGGCCACATTGGACCACTTGAGTCGTTCCACTTCACTTATTACTGTTCATGGTCGACTGTCGAAGGTTTGTCACCTTGAGGTGAGGATAAATCCTCGAGTTACAATTCTGAATGTTATTCAGAAAGGTGATAATGAGAGATGGAGATGATGAATGATAGGGGGTGAAAGGACGAACACAATACAACCATGCCCGAGGCGGGACTTGAACCCGCGATCTTTCGGTATGAGATCGCTACGGCACTACTGCCTTAGCGATCTTGGCCACCAGATTGGCATGGTATCATATAATAATAATAATAATAATAATAATAATAATAATAATAATAAAAATAATAATAATAATAATAATAAAAATAATAATAAATAATGTACATCAAGTGTTCTTTACAAAACAAATTTAGATATGAAATTTGGCATTTCTAACCAATGTTGACAAGCTAAAGAGTAATCAAAGTGATGAAAACAATGCAGAAATTAATATTCCTGTCACTTTTAAATAAATTTAAAAAAATTAATTTAAATAATTATTGTAATATAAATACTTGTACTTAATGTTCGTTATTTAAGTAATACAAACAATAATAGTTACCAAAGATAACTATAGGTTGAGATCCATCCTTGGGAAGATTTCGGAAAGCAACTGATAAATCCATGTATCTCACTTTTCCTTTTGCTGTCCATTCCAGATGCGGCACTGGTATGTTTCCTTGATTAATAGCATATTGTAAATTTGGACGAGGCCCATCCAAAAGCAATGGCCCAGCAGGAACTGACCTTATTGTTATAGTATTTTCATCTACTAACGATGGTAAAGCATAGAGCCCATGATGATGTTCTCCTACATACAAAGTTGGACTAGAAGAAAATTTTCCTACGTTAAAATGAAATAATTTGAAGAGAAATAAAGTACCTTTTTAACAAACTGATGAGAAATGTAACTAAATACCACTAATACAGACATATATTTCTTTATTAAATATTACTTACTAAAGTTTCATGTCATCTGTTTCAATAATGGGATTTGGTGAAGAACTGAAGTGAGCTACCAAATTGTTCATAGTTTCTTCTGCTACACTTGTAAATGGAACAGACACCAAACTATCACTCTCCACCATATAAATAGCAATAACAGGTGAGCCATAATCTTGATCCCAGAGTAAAGTTCCTTGACGTCTATTCAGACTCACTGTTCTTCCAGAAGCACTTGCTGTGAAATGGACTAATTCTAAAAGGAAATAATTCATTTTCAGCGAAACCCAGCCAAAATAAAATGATGATAACTAGGGGGCGGATTTTGATGACCTAAAACATTGCCAAAAATGATCAATAAAATGGTCGTAAAAATGTGATCAACACCACTTCAAATTAACAACTCAAGCTGTTGGATATGTTACTGATACAATCTTCCTTTTGTTCCAGTGAACTCAGCTTGAAAATGTTTGTTTTGGACTGTTCTTTAAAAGAAAATCTCTACCTTTATTTATTGTGAAATCAGCCGAACTGACAATGGCACCAATAGACATCACAGGTACCTTAAATTACATAGTACCATTAAAATTATATTAAAATCGGCAAAAAATGCATAAAAATTACATAAAAAAAGGTACAAAATGACATATTAGTCAATATCGAAAAAAAAAAAAAAAATACATATAAAAATGGGTCATTTTGTTTTGTCATAACAGCAAATGAATTTCTATACTAAAAGGCACTGTTCTGAAGTGAAAAGAAAAAACAACACTTCATTAAAATTCGCCCCCTAATGAAAACAGAAATATTCAGGCATAAATATGCAGGTTTTGTAATAAGGCATTCATAGTAGCATTTTCATTGTCTAATTGTATTTTAAATCACGTTTTTATTTGTTTTCTAATATTAGTGGCATTAAACACAATATATATTTTTTTAATGAAGAGAACAGACTTCAGTATATAGGCAGGCTCAAAGGGTATTGCCTGAAATCAATTTAAACAGTAAAGAATTTTAAAAAAAGTTTATGGTGTCTTAATAATGAAATTAACATTAAGAATAATCGTGGCATCTCTAATATCTTACCATAATCTTTAAATCTCTCGCTGTCCATTGCTGATGCAGAATAATCAAAAAATGTAACATTCCATTTCCTTTCTTTATGTTTGCTGTCAAGCATCATAATATTGTATTCTACAAAGAAAAAACAAAAGTCAGTTCAAAGATCAAAATTATTCTTTGAATTTAAAGGCAAAGTAGTGCACAGTATCCATCCTAAGTAATATTATGATGCAACATTCTCCTAAGAGATAATATTTTCATAAACTGTGAATTTTCAGTTTTACTCGTATAAAACGGTCAACTTACAAATGAATTATTACACCTCCAACCCTAGTTAAATGTGAATATTTTATAAATACGTTTCTACATAGACCAACTCAAACAGCTAGGATTGCTAAGGAATGGTGCAGTAGCGTGTTACTTTGGGGTCACAAGCAGAAGACCTGCTTAGGCATTAGTGACACTGTGTAGGTACGCTGGCCTAAATGGTTAGCTTTCCCAGCTACAATACAGATATGTAAGGTTAGTGGCGGATCCAGAGGAGTGCTATACCCCCCCCCCTCCCCCAAGCCTGGAAATTTTGTTGGTTTTTATTCTTTTATTTGGCAAAATTGATTTATTTGGGTTAGAATTATGTAATTATTAAAAAAATAGTATTGTTTTTAGCATCATACATACACTAGCGGTGTAATATACAATGTAATAACAAATGTTTATTATTTAACAAAAATCTACAATTGCCCCTCCCAAAATGATGGGCTGCATCCACCCCTGTGTATCATTCCACTTGGAGCCATTCCCGATTATCGTGTTGTGGAATAGTGGGACAAATCCAACATAGCCTGTAAGTCCAGATCCTTCCCTCTGGACAAATACCCACTACCTCATTTCTGCTACCTGCATTGTTTCGCTTAGCAAGACCCATTGATTACCTTGACAGGTACACTCAAATATGAAGACATGGAGAAGTCTGTGAACTACTTTTGAAAGACAACGAGGTGTAAAGTAATAAACTGTCAGAGAGAAGAATGGATAATGTACAAGGAAGAGGATGGCTGCTGTCCTGGGAACCCATGTGCAGGGACGCTTGCCAGATGTGAAGAGGAGGGGGCCATGGCTATAGAGTCATGTAGGCTGTATCCTCATCCAAAAATGTGTGTATACACAAGTCTCTCAGTAATAGAAAATTGTATAGGATCACATATGTAAATACAAACAACAGAATATACATGATGTGGGGTTTTGCAATTACCTGTCCTTCCTATAAAAATTCCATGAGCACCTGTTACAGGGCAGGTCTTATCTTCTTTGTCAAAACTAACTATTTGTTGTTTTGTTCCAGTCTTGGGATCAACAGAAAACCATGTATCTATTTTTTTCCCTGAAAAAACATTAAATATTTCTTTCATATGGGCACTTAACTTTCAAGGAAGTAAAAGCATCTTTAAGAAAATATATTTACCTGTGTACAAAATACCATCACTGCTTCGACAAGGTGAAGAAGCAACCAACTGTGGTATTGTGAACGGTAATTTTTTTAGAGCATCATTGTCATTATTTCCGAGGACATAAAGAGAACCATCTTTGGGATCAGGTAAAAATATCGGTCTGAAAGTAAACATTTTGTCTATATTTTAAAAAAATACTCATGATTATAGCTCAGAGGAGTTTCTAAACCACAGCCATATCACTTCACTTGTCAATCATTTTCAAAAATGTTAAACTCAAGTTATGATGACTCAATGTTTTGATATATCAAGATATATTAAAGAAAAATGCACTCTCAAGGAACATTGTAAAGTCTATTATAAAATAGAAATAAAAGTGGCTTCATAATAGTTGCTAAAGACCTCTCCTCAATAAAGAAGTTTAGATTACATTTTTGAACACCTATCTTTCAAAATATATGCCCAATACAATGTTTAGAAAAAAGGATTACATACACCAGTGTTTTTGAAGTATCAACAGGCACTTTCACTACAGGTTCTGCAAATAATAAAGTTGTAATGGTTAAATCATGGGATAGAGGTTGTGCACTATTTATATCAGTTGTCTTTTTATCTGTATTCACATCTTCATTGAACTCACCATCCTTCAATTTCCATCTCACAAAACCTGTCGCTTGTTCCACTCCAAAAAATGAACCATCTAATGTTGACAAGAGGAGAAGGGGATTATCCCATTCTTTTGACAGTTCTGTAACTGTACTCTGAAACATAAAAAATGTTTATTTTTGTGTGTGTCCATATGGTATTAAAAAAATGGCATGCAAATTTAAATACATTTAAAAATACCTCTGATAAATTGTCGGGCGGGACTGCAGAAGAAAATGGTACAATGACAGTACATAAGATAACTGGGATCAACACATATTTTATGGACATGTTTAACGATTTTTTAAAATGTACATTTTATGATGAAACAAATAATATAACCTCACTTTGCAGACAAGTCAAGAAAACACAACGCACTAACACGCACCAGATCATAATTTATTTTACAGAGACCTATTATACGGAAAAAATGGCAACACTACATTTATAAATTATTCTTAATTCACGCCGACAACACGTTGTAAAGTAGACGATAAAGAAATCCACAACATGATGACAACTACAGTAACAAAAGAATGTCTAGTGTCGTGACGTCGGTGGAACCAAACGTCATTTGGTACAGTCCTGCGACCTGTAGCCGGAAACTATACGTGCATACAATTTTGTGCAATTTGACAGGATCTCTGTGAAGGTCTTTCGGTGTTCTTGTCATGGGGGATTTTGCATAGGTAAAGTCAGTAGTTGTCAGTACTCTATCATTATGTATTGTTATACGTGGTTATATGTTTTTTCTCCAATGTAGTTTGTCCCGTGTCATCTAGTAAAGTCATGAAAGAAAATATAGAATTTTCATGTTTTGTCTCAAGTGAACACCTTGAAAGCTCGGTAATATGCAATAATAAAACATACTTCGATACATTGCTGGGCATGACAGGTTGTATACTCAGGTAACATAATTCCAGTGAAAGGAAAAGTAATATTGAAATAGCTGCATTAAATATGAAAGAAATATTTAAAATTATTTGGTATTTTCCTTGACACAAAAAACAAGAATAAAAACGTATTTCTTATATCTCTCTGATAATGTTCCATTATTTCTATTTATATTTTGTTTTTTATGTTTCTTGTAGTGTTAAAAATACTTCAATATTCCACTTCCCATTCTATGATTTTCTAATGTACCTCTTTTTTATATAGCAGACTGCAGTGTGTTTGCACAGTATTATTGGCTGCTAAATCATGATCTCTCCAAAGACCGGTAAGTTAGATGCTGTGTAGTTGATGTACAGTTTCTTTTCTTGTGCCCGATGTCAGTAAATGTGTTTGTAAAAATGAGATGTACAATGAATGTAAAAGTGCTTCAACAAGGTGCATGATATCAATATTGTTTAGCATGAGTTTGTGCATCTTAGAGCTTGTTACTAATGACTAATTTTGAGCATTGTATGAATGGTGGTGGTATGGTTTAAGCATTTCTTTATTTCCAGGGTTTTTTATAAGCTTCCTTTTAAAACTCATTTTGTAATGCTATTTCTATGCAGCTTTCATTAAGCTCTTATTCCCCAATACTTCTCTATAATCTTTTCTCTTCACTGAGCTTGTGATATTAACAATGAGTGGCAAGAAACGCAGCTCCGGTAAAATTACTTTAGGCATGCTTAAGGGTATGTATATTTTTATAACTCCTAAAATTCTGTAAGAAGCACCACTAATATTCAATTGGATTTGAAAGTAGAGAATAATATGGTTAAATGAAAACATGTTTGCCAGGAAAATCTATTACAACATCTGTACCTTCATTTGCGATCCGTTTTCATACTGGAGGTGAAGAATTGGATGAGATATACCCAAGTGCTGAGGATACAGATGATGATGCTGAAAAGCCAACAATTAACATTGGATTCCTCCAAAGTATGATGCTAAATATTTTTTTCTATGTATTTTAAATATTTTTGTAATGTGTTTTTGTAAATTTTTCTTGGGGAGATTTACAGCTAAAGATTTACACATTTATCATTTCCAAAATAATATGACTTTCAAACTGTATTGAACCCTTACATAAATAAATTTCTTTGGTAGGTACTAGACAGGTTCTAGCTGCTACTTTCAGTTAATTTTGTACTTATTAAAGGTTAAAAATTGTTAATCATAATTTAAAATATTTAATAGGAATAATTGTAAATAATACAATGTTGAAAAAAATTAATAGTTACAGTATATCTTCAAATCAATAACTTTGTTTCCTTTGTATTATATTGGGTACCTTTAGTTTGAATAATTTCATGGAAACATATGAAATGCATTTTATTTCCTAATTGGTGTATTAATTGTGTGGCCCTGTGTTATGTAGACATGGTTATATAATTGTGTTTTTTATGTAAAACTGCATTTTCAGTAAACTTCAATGTGGTTCATATCTATTCTTATTCAAACTTGAATGAAATGTTCTAGATTTTGTTCCTTACAATGAATGTTTAATGTGGCTTGATAATACTTCCTGCATGCTTAATTGTGTTCATGAGAGTATTCTAACATTGAATTTGGAGAGGAGGAATCTTCATGATGAATTTCATGTTATTTTGGCCAAAGAACAATTATTAATATTTAAATATTTCATTGGTATCTGATTTCATGTTATGAGTTGTAGTAACTTTATGAAATAATGTAGACAGTCATATCATGTAATTTAACTTATTTAATAATTTTTGATTTTCCAGAAGAGGACACAAATACAAAAAATGAAATTATTGTGGAGCAAAACAGTGGCAACCCTCCATCTGCCTCTGGAAATGTTTCATCAGCAATGCCATCCTCTTCTTCCTCCTCTTTGGCAGCAGGAACGCCATCAATTTCTGTTGCCAGTGCTCCTTCGAGAGATCCATCACCAATGAAAGAATACTTTAAAGGGATTGGAAAGAGATCAACAAGTATGGATGCAGGCATTATTGACGGGGCTTCTGGTAGTGACGCTGGCTGGAGAATATTTCATGAATGGAAAGGGAAAATTACAAAAACTGTTGAAGAAAGATTTAGTGAAAAATTTAGTGATAAGAAACCTGCATCAGCTAGTAGTTCAGAACCTGTTAGAAGGGGTCGATTGGGTTCTGGGTCAGGATCAGGGAGTAAAAGTAAAGAAAATTCTAGTGTTAGTGATGATGAAGGTTCTGAATCCTTAAATCAACAGAGCGATACCAAAATCTCAGAGGAAACTAAAATAGCTGTAGATGACAAACAACCCTCTTTAAAGAGTGAATCTTCTCCAAAACGATCTGTTGAGGAAAAGAAGTCATTATCTTTGGAAGAGAAAGATGATGTTTTGAGTGATTCTTTGACTGATCCTCCTAGCACATCTTCTGCTGTTGATGTTTCAGATTTGACAGATATTTCATCAAAGGGTCTGATTAAGAAGTCAGGTTTCCGAAACAGGATGAAACATAACTTAACTGGTTTACGTAGCAGACATAGGGCTGCTAGTGCTCCTATTACTGGCAGAATAACAATGTCTTCTCTGTCTGCATCTGCAGAGGATGATGTGGAGCTACAAACTGACAGTGACATAGAACCTGCTGTTGAAGCTTCAGAAGACATAAAATTTAATGTTTTTCAGAAGACACATCAGATTGAAGAGGATGCTCAAATTACTACTACTGATTACCGTACTACTGTACCAACTTCTCATCCTCCCTTAGAAAAGCCTAAAAAGCGATTTAAAAATTATTTCGGATTGGTTTCTAGACTCTGGTCGTCAAAATTTGTTGTCTTGGGTTTATCTCTATGTTTGTATTCAGTTTTCTATGAAGTTCCAGCTTCCTTCATCGGTTTCTTTTGGGGAGCATTAGTTGTTTACATATATTATGCAGTGCGTGACATGGTGAGGGCTTTAGTAATGCCAAGAACTGAATCACAGTCAGACTTCCATTTGACATCCATGACACGTGATGTGTCTTCTTCTGACCTACCTATTCTAGAAGTTCCTGCTGCAAAGGAATACCAACCTTTAACTAAATATGAGGTATATTTTTTTAAAAGATGCTAATCCTAATTACTTATGCAATTGTAGCTCATTTTTAAATGATAAATGTACTATTCATTAAATGTATTTTGTCTAGGGTTGGATGAATGAGTACCCAGATTCTTACAATCCAGACACGTATTCTATCACAGCAACACAAACTGTATATGTTCGTCTGGAAGGATCAACTTTGCGTGTGTCAAACACGCGTTTGAAGATTCCAAAAAGAGCAATGTGGAATGAACGAAGACATAAATTAAGATTTACACATCAAAGAATATACAACATTGCAAATTGTGCTATAAAACTACTACCTGAAGGACTTACTCGTAGGAGGTTGGCTGTATTTAAATTAGACTTCTGAACCTCCTAAGGGAAAAAATAATTTTCCTTACATTAGGTAAATTTTACTGTTTCCAGGCTTTGGAGTAAAAAGTATCCTATTTGTATAGTGCTGTTGAAGTCTTCTGCATTAAAATCTTGCCTTATGAATATAGTAAAGGAAGCAAGCTCTTTAGATGAAACAAGTCAGAGAACTGGAGTTGCTCTTGATAGTGAGGGCTTAGATTTACTCTCACAAGGCAGTGACACAATCCCGGGTAAGTTAAAACTTTTGTTTTAGAAAACGTTTATATAATGTATAGTCCACTAGTTCTCGATAAATATATAACCACTGTTTGTATTTATTTGACCTAAAATTAGTCCACAGTTCTAAAATTAATCTTTTCTGTATCTGTCTTCTGAAATATTATCCCAGGTCTAGGTCTGTTGAAATTTCCATTAAGAATGCTCTGGTGTCTTTTTAATTATAGGAATTGTAGATATTGTGTGTAACAACATAGTAAACTTAAGTTTTAAACCATATATAAGTAAGACACACTATGGTAGGCAACATATTGGTTCATGGAAATAAATGTATTTTCTTTCCTGTACATCATCGTTATTTTTACAATTATATCTATTTATTTTATTTTTAATGTATTGCCTTTTGATAGCTCATAGCTCTCATTTATGCATGTATGTATGTATATATCTGTGTGTGTGTGTGTGTGGGGGGGTGCATGGGTGTGTGCTATAAATAAAATTATAATATTCATTGTATTGGTCAATGATTTTTAACACAGTTTTAACTCTTGTACCGAAATTACCATATTTATGTGAAGTTTCGAGTCCATGTACACCTATGATCACTTCTAATACTGACATTATTGATTTGAATGACTGTCAATATGAGAATTTTAAATTATAATTCTGCAACTTCTAGGTATGTTATGAATTGTAAATTCTAATGAACATAAAACAGACAGTATCCAAGTATTATCTTTTTAATAGTCATTTTTCACTTTAAAAGTGTGACATTTCTTTCAGTTTTAAAGAATAGGGTTTGCTTTTCTTCATCTTCTTTTTTTTTTTCTTCTTTTTTTCCCTTTCTTTTTCCTTTCTTCTTCTTTTTCCTTTATTCATCTTCTTCTTCTTCCTTTTCTTTTTTTTCTGCTGCTGGTTCTTTTAATTCTGCTATTTCTTCTGCGTCTTCATTTGCTTCTTTCTGTTCTGCCTATTCTTCATCTGCTTCTGCTTCTTCTACTTCTGCTTGTTGTACTTCTACTTCTACTTCTATTCTTCTTCCTTTTTGTCCTCTTCCTGTTTCCTTCTTTCTCCTGTCCCTCTTCATCATTCCTTTCAGGCTGTTGGTGGAAAATAAAATGACAAGCCAGAGATAGGATTCCCAGCAATGGCATAGCATGGGTGTCAGCTGGCTGGGGTGGAGAAAAATTACGCTGCACCCTTTTTTAGGTATTTCAATTTTAGAGACAAAAATATATGTTAATTCTAAAGAAATTTTACACAGTAATTCTAAATAATAAAGGAAGTTCGAGTTAGATTCGTAAATGAAAGTATTGTATAATTATTTGAAAATAATTACTTATGAATTTAAATATAACATCCTACTGCATTAAAATTTACTTTTTCTGTTTGTTTTTTTAAATAAATTAAACCTTGAACAATGTAACAGATAGTCAAACATTCAGTTATAAATATACTAGTGGTGCTACAGAATGGCACAGACTTTCTCAAATTCATTTTCCATTTTCTTTGGTTTCACACTTACCACATATTTTTTCCAGCTGCCATCTATCACCACTCAAAATACATTTTTTTAAAATTATTTTTGATATTTTGGTTTCCTGTGAGTAGAACGTACTTCAAAATATTAAAGAAGAGTAAAACCTTGACCTAAATTACCATTTTCATGGAAAAATTAGGAGCTGTTTTTAAGAAAATGGTGTTTAAGCATTACTGTATGTGCAAAGTTTGAAGCTCTTTTTCACAGGAATTTTTTGTTTTAGAAAAACTTTATGTACTCATAGTACTTTAACTTGCAAATGCAGTAGTGTTTACAAATTGCTGGAAATGTGCATATATGAGAAAGTAAAAATGTAAAGAAAATATTTCATGCTCGCATAGTTGAATGTGTAGGCACCCATAAAATACAATTTTTCGTCTAAGTTCAATAATTTAACAATCACTACACATTCTTATGAGCACAAAAATCACACTTTGGAAAGCGCCAACATATATGATTAAGTTAATATGAATTGGACAATCCATCAATGAATTTTAGTCATTGATGTCATTATTATGATGGTCATGAGTAGAAATGGTGTTGCCAGTCACTACAATGAGTAAGATGTCATTATTATACATTCATTTAAAGGTATTACAAAATAAGTAATGAAAGATAATGTGTTCATTTCACTTGGTCTGAATCATAGATGCGACAAAAATATGAAATTGTTTACATTTTTACAAGATATTATTTATTGTGAAATTTTGCCACCCTCGCTATGCTACGCCACTGGCCCTCAGCTCATTATTTTCTTATTTTCCACCAACCTCAAGAACTCAAGTCACCATGCTACTTGTACACTCTAAATTTACACTTCAATAAGAAAACATTCTGCAGGACTAGATTGTTGAAATTTCCTTTGTCTAATTCTTGAAGTATTTCCTTTTTTGTTTTATCTTGGGATTTTCCTGTACTTGGACCAGTTTTGGCAGATTTCTTTTCACATTAAGTTTTCTCTTTTGAGGTCTCTCTCTGCATAACAGTTCAATCGCTTGGCTGCAGGAAAACTTATCTTGCCATGAAGTTCAGAACTTGCGAGAGGGATTGTGGTGTGTTTGTGTTCTTTGGTTATACTGAATACTGATGATCTTAGGTAAAACTCACCAAATGTGTGTGTGATATTTATACTTTATTATAATTACCTACATATAATTAATTTATATTATTATTATTACAGAAAATGTGTGTTGCTATTTTTTAAAGTATATGGTGTGTAATATAATGTTTTGATTTATGGGATGAGAACAGTAGATATGTCTCCAGTGACATGGGAATTGATTGGTGAAATAAAAGGAAGTAAAGGTTAAGTAATGAGAAAAGGTTGAGAAATAATGTATGCTGTATTTTAGATAGAATTTCTCCTTCTGGCTGAATCTGTCTGATAACGAATTGTAGTTGAAGGTAGTTTTTGTATCATTGGTATTGTATGACTTTTTTAAATTGCAAGTCATTGAGTTTCATAAATGACAAATGCTGTTTACATGTACTGTTGTGTACATGTAAATCTTACAAGGATAACAGTAGTTGGTTTTGCTATTGTAGAATAATTTCTTGTTTGTATATTAAGATGAACATATAAAATCTTGATTGTGTGTATTTGCATATGTATGTATGCAGTGATAATGGATAAATTATTTTTTCTCTGACGCTCATGGATAAAATAACATTAAAATAGGTGGTAATACAATATTACTTGATTCAGATTCACGCTCTGATTTTGATGAGAATTCACTTTTTGATTCAAAATCTGGAGAAAATAAATCATTTGATGAAGAAGAAATGAGTATTCCTGGAGACATCAGTGATGAAGATACATTTTGCCACATAGACAAATCTGCACTGGAAGAAACCTGTCTGTATTTATTTGCTCGCACGGATCGTGAGAAAGAGGATTGGTTTGTATCATCTCCATATTTATTTTATCTCAATACAATATAAAATTATTGATTTAAAATATTATATAATAAATATGGATGGTTGTTTTATAATGCTTTAAATATAAATTGTAATTTCACGTAGGAAATACCGTATGATATGGCAACAAAATGGTATCTTTATCGTTTTGTACTTTTATGATAGATACTCGTAGGACTAGAACAATATCCATTCTAATTGAGCATTACACAGATTTGAATTCTAAAAAGAGATTTTGGTGTTACTCCATCAATATGTAAAATTGGAAAATTGCAAGTTATCTTTTATTTTCTTTGCTTTATATCTTGTAATAGATTTCTGATTTACTGGATTCATTACAGGTACAGGAGACTTGCTGCTGCTGTTAAATTTCATACTCCCATGGAAGAGGAGGTGGAGGAACAAACCCAACAACCTACCGAATGTCCTCCAGAAGTAGCGAAATCAGTTGGTTTACTTCCTAAGATTACTACGAACCCACCAAATTCTACATTGCCAGACAACCAAGATTCTGTTCAAAGTCAACAAAAACCAATTGAAAATACTGAAGACACAATTTACTCTGAAACTTTAGAGGATGCAAATTCTGACTATTTGAAGTTCATGAGCGTCTACAAGCTTCAGGTGCTAACTGCCAAAGGCAAACGTATATTGAAGCCAGCTCCTCTCCTCAACCCTCCAGCTCATTCTGTTAGTTGTTTGTTTTTATTTTTGTTTAGTTATGTTATCTTTATGTTATGTTATGTTATGTTGGTATGTTATGTTATGTTGTTATGTTATGATATGTTCCTAAATTCAACTGAACATATTAAAATAGAAAGAAACAGAGTATAATGAAACATTTTTCTAGTTTTTTTCTCTTCTGTATTTTGAGCAGGCTTATTTTAAAGAAAAATTACTGTGAAAAATGTTCAGTTGTTATATTTTGTTCTTATGTTAACAGAATTGAACTAGCATCCTTTTATGCTATCTAAGGTCAAAGTTTAATCAAAAAATTTGGTGCTTTTTTTGAAAAAATATTGAAAATATTTTTGAGGCTTCATATAAAGTCCCCTTGTCTTCAATAATAAAAACTTAAGTTTTTTTCTTAATTTAAAATGTAATAATTTTTCACTTTCGTTATATGTAAACATTAAACTTGATAGTTGCCTTAATGTGCTCAAAATGTCTTGAGAATTAATATACAGTGACAAAAATAAAATGCTTGACTCATTTGATTATTAACAAATAGTTTTTAAAAAAATTAATGTTGTTAGGGTCAGGGCCCCTGCCAATCAAGAGCCCTAGAAAATTATGTAGGACTGCCAATTTGTTAATTCACTACTGTCGACCAGAGGAAATCTCTTTTGGAGAAAATCAATTGCAACAATTTATGTGCTAGCGTTGGTTGAACGGACAGACAGACAGACATTATGCCATCAATCGAATTTTTGGTATCAAGAACCCACAAAACATGGATTCTTGTTATGCCATGTGTTAGAGGAAGGAATTTTCTGTATATAGAAACATAATTTATCCGCTTTTTCACTATGAGTGTCAGCAATAAGAGCTTTTCTGCTGAAAATTTGCTGTTTTCCAGCGCACAATTTCATAACTTCTCTTCTTATGAAGCAAGTGTAGGAAAGTTAAAAAAGAATAACATTTATATCTGAGATTTTATTGGATTTAGAAAGAACAGTACTGTAACAAATATATCTTGCTAAAGCAATTTATTAAAACATATTTTTGAAATGATATCGTACATTTTTGATTGCAATAGAAATTAATATATATTTATATAAAACAAGCAATATTAATAAGTTATTTAAGAGAAGCAAATTTGATTTCTATCCATCCCTTCAGAAGTATCACTCCCATTTGACCTAACCGAATAAAATTTAGACCTATTTTTTCATGTTGAGTCAGAGAGAATTGTTTCATGTTTTTATTCTCTCTTGGATGTTGAGTACCCCACTATCACAATCTTTAAATTTCTCTGTTCATAAACATTAACAGGATTGGACTCTGTGAAGTTAAATTCTTTATCACGACATTAATTATGATAGTAATATTAATACAATAATAATGTTGGCCTGTTGTGTTCATTACTTTTATTTATTACTTTTTGTGTTTATGCTTATTCTTTCTTGCTTTTTTCTCTTTCTCTCTTTTTGTGTCTGTGATCTTAATGAGTAATACTTTGTTTGTTTTATGATTAGAGCTGCCATCTGCTGGAAATTCCTCCCCAGAAAATCTTAATTACAATTAATTTAGGAGAGTGGAGTTGGGTACAGATAAAAATAGAGCAAATACTGTCTTGAGATTATTATGCAGCTCATTTTCATATCAAGTTGGTTACAAACTTCATTGGTGTTAAATTAAAAAAAATTTAAAGGCCAGTCAATATTTTGAGCAGGCTAGTAAATAAAACTGCTGGTCTGAATATTTGTGAAGACACAGAAATATCTCAGATCAGAGAGAAAGAAGTGAGATCAAAATTTGATCAAATCATTTGGGGAGGGGGGGGGTGAGGGGGTAAATTACACATTCACAAAGACACAATACAACATACAAAGTGAAGTGACATCTATGGTAACTGATATGTAAATGTATTTTTATATTTTGTTAAGTCGTAAGAGAAATAAAATTACAATGGTCTTTTCTGTGACTGGCACAAATATTTTAAAATTATTTTTTTAAGATGTTTCTGTCTGAACTGTCTACATCAGCTGAAAACCGCCCTTTTCTGTCTCATTAGTGAAGTGAAACAGATTTTAAAAGCACTATAAAATAGGAACCTGAAATAAGTAATCTGATGCCAATGAAGATAGTAAGGAATTAAGGACTCTCTGTTAACACTAGAACAACCAAAACAGTCATTTTGACTGTTTTGAAATTTAAGTTTTCTTTTCTGCCTGTTTATTAATTTATTATTGTGATATTTTGTGACTTTTAATATTTGAGGATGTTCTATAAATTATGAAATATAATTGTTTTAGACATCTTAGTTTTCTAGATAATAGCTAATTCTTCATGATTTTCCTTCAACAATGAGTAGCAGTCAAAATTACTGCTCGTTTTAAATGTGATTGAGATGATGACAAATTGCACAAGCTCCCTCTGTCAAAACTTCATCCAGATGCTGGACTGTCCAAGTATTTTATAATAGATACAGATTTAGCTGAAATCATTTCTTGGATTCTGTATGAAAAGGTCTCGGGAAACAATCAGTCCTGGTGGTCATATTTACTGAATCTGGCTGAACTTTGCTTGCACTGCTAAAGGCTCGAAACATTCCAAGAGGGCATCACTTGTCGCGAGTAATTCAGTACAAACAAACATTCAAGGGACAAATAAGTGTTGACAGTGTCAATTAGGACATTGTCAAAACAAGAAGTCCAATGACACTTGTTCTGGTTGCAGAAAAATTGTTTGTGGTAAATGTGCTGACGTGAAAAAAGTAGTTGTCTATTTGGCATATAAGCCAAAATAATTAAATATATGATTTACTTAAAAAAATGTTCCTGAAATGTATTAAAAGACATGAATTATAACAAAGGTTTCTCAAAATAAAAAAAATATTATTTAAAGCAGTCACCTCTGTTCACCATCATTGTAGGTAGAATAGCATTTCCATCTTTCGGTGTTAAAAAATATAGATAAATGAATATCATTGTGTAAAATAAACAAAATAGTGAAATGATACAGATTATCAGAGTAAACCAAGGGCTTGAAGATTGGTCTTAAACCCAGAATCTCTATGTCAAAACCAAAGAGATGGCAACTCTAGTTACAGTTAAAAGTGCAGAATTTCTATATTTGCTTTTTAAAAATTGTATTAGTGCTTAATTTAGAATCTTTCTAAATAAGCCACCTTTGTTTTCCTCTATAAGTAAAAAACCAAGAATTGTAAATATTTTCTCAAAATTATTTTCTTGCATTATTTTTCTTGTGAAAATTCTTTTTATGCTTGTCCCATTGTAATTTGTTTGTGGAAATGTTATTTTAAAGAATGTCTCAGGTGCAATAAATTTTTATAACAAGGCAGGTTCAAAGGTGTGTCAGATTATGCATGGAGTTAAAGCAATTGATTAAGTTTGCTGATGTTTCAGAATAAATAATTCCAACCTCAGGTATGCACCAACAACTAGCAATGGGTATAGTATCCATTATAAAATAACATAAAAATGACTATTTAAATGCAGCCTATTGAGAAGAAAAGAATCACAGTAAACTTCATCATGTGGCTTTAATTATATCCATAACTTGATCAATACTTGTGAACTTTATGCATTATTTATATTAAAGGTCATGAATCATTAATTAATTTTGTTTCAATTTTGTGAATGGGGACTGTAGAACCATACTGATCCAAGTGACATTTTGTTTGTTTTCTTTTTTCCTTTCAGCTTTCTGCATGGATACATGGGAGAAACTGTACATTTTCATACCACAGTGATCCAAGTGCAAAAGTCATCTTCTTTTGTAGGAACGTCACAGCCTCAAGTTTCCCTTCTCCTGTTCCCTTATACCAATCACAAATGTGTTACCCTCGTTTTCTCTAAATGTTGAGAATGCCTCTTGTATCAGTATGATTCTCTCCTCACCAAATAAAATGTTCAATAGTTTATCACTCTCAAAATACATTTAGTTACTTTCTTCTTTCTGTAGCCTCATCGGAATTCTAAACAAAAATTGGATGCAGAAATACAAAATGCAGCAGAAAGTGATGTTGCTCCTAACTTAATGTGGTTTAATGCATTTATTGGAAGAGTTTTATATGATTTAATGAAAAATCCATTTTGGGTTCTAAAATTACAAGAACGTATTCAGAAGAAACTCTCAGCTATTCGGGTTTGTACTTCTTTGGTGTTTCTGCTTATGGTTGTGTTTTCTTTTGTACTTGTTTATGAAATTGAATGTTGTTTAAAAATTTAGGAAATAAATTGATGTTTTAGTGCATCAAAGTTTCAAATACTAGCAATAACAAACTTATTATACATACTTATTGAAATTACCTTCCATTGTGTACTTAACAAAATTACCCCACCATCTTCCTAACTGTTATTCATTAGTGTTAAATTTTAAATTAAACTGTAAAATTATTCCTTCTTTATTAAAATTTTTTGAGATTGTTAGTGAAATTATTTATTTGTGTTTCAGTTACCCCATTTTGTAGGTGAAATTATTGTTTCGGAATTAGATGTAGGAGAATCTGTTCCTCTTATTCACTGCACATCATCACCTATGCTTGATGAAAGGGGATTGTGGGTCAATGTTGATATCACTTACAAAGGAAATGCTAGTTTGACCCTTGAAACAAAATTGAATCTTTTGAAATTGAAGAAAGAACAACCTTCAGACACATCATCTGCCCCATCACCAAGTTTGGCTTCTCCCTCTACACCAGTGAACACTGATAAAAGGTAAAATTACAATTTACCACTATGTTAAATTTAGAGCATGCAACTAACTTTAATATCCTGTGTTGGTGCCTTTATTTAAGAGGTAGAATCATTAACTTGAAATTTTTTTGAAAAATTAATAATGTGCTCATAATTGTGAATTTTGCTTGTTAGGTATTGAGTAAATTGAAATTGATTGTTGTATGCTTTTTGTTTCCCTGGATTGTGGCGTGGGTTTCTTTTTTAACTTAAAGATTAATAACCATAAAGTTCTTTAATTAAATTAATTCAAAAATAATCCTGGCTCCTGTTTATATTTTTTCTGCATCTTCTCCTTCATGAAGATGATTGTCACTGTATTATTCAATTTTCTGAATGAAAATAAAATGTTTGTCTTATGCATAAATAAATTAGATAATTAAGTTTATTTTTTCACTTATTTTGTTAATTTGTAAGTCCTCTAATTAAAATTCCCAAGGAAGATTCTAATAATAAGGAATGTTCATTTTTGTAAACAGTTGTTTTTTGTTTTTTTTTAAACTTAAAAATAAAACTATAAGATAGTTTTGCAGTTCAGTTTAGATAGTGGCATTAGATAAGAGACACTATCTTGATAATGTTAAAACAGTCAGAGTTTTGCCATAAACAGGATATTTTGTTTGTGAGTGAACATAATATTCTAGACTTTCTATTTAATGGCCTTATTCTTCATTTATATCCAATTCTAAAAACCTTGGGTAATTAAGAATTCACCCCCTTCACATTCTCTCTTTCTCCCTCTCTTCCACCCTCCCCCTCTCTCTCCCTCTCCCTCTCTCCCTCTCTCCCTCTTTCTTTCTCTCCCTCTCTCTACCTATCTCCCCCTCTCTCTTCCTCTCTCCCCCTCTCTCCCTCTCCCTCTCTCTTTCTCCCTCTCTTTCTCCCTCTCCCTCTCTCTTTCTCCCTCTCCCTCTCTCTTTCTCTCTCTCCCTCTCTCTTCCTCTCTCTCCCTCTCTCTCTCTCTTCCTCTCTCTCCCTCTCTCTCCCTCTCTCTCTCTCTTCCTCTCTTGCTTTTTCCTCTCTCCCCCTCTCTCTCTTCCTCTCTCGCTTTTCTCTCTTCCTCTCTCTCTTTCTCTGCCTCCTTCTTTCTTGCTCTCTCTCTCCTCTTTCACCCTCCCTCTTTTTTTCTCTCACTCTTTCTCGCTGTCTATTCAAAAACCTGGTTCTTTGCTAACTTTGCTAAACTGGTACTTTTTCTTAAATATGAGTTCTGTTCTTCCATATCTATATAGTTTCAAGTAAATGAAAAATGTAATCTTTCTTACTTGTGTCTGTTACAGTGATTCACAAATTAGGTGAGTTTTAAAAGTTTATTTGGAAAAAAATATTTTTTTATTTCATTGTATTTGTAATTTTAAATTTATTTTCAAATATGAATCTGTTTCAATTTTAAAATTGAAATGAGTTTTTGGTAAATTGATATTATAGTTTGTTTTCTTTACTAATAATTTTCGGAAATAACGTAAGCTTGAATGTATTTGAATCAGCATGAGGAATTTTTTAAGAGTAAATGAATTATTGTTTAATTCCTGCTTGATAAAATGTGTGCTGCTATACATGTGTTTTAGGAGTTCCCCTATGTTTGATAGTGACCTTGATGATTCTGCTGAATCCTCTGATGATGATAGTGATTTTGATAAATCTTCTACTGACGAAGAATAGTAAGTTTTATGTAAATACTTAATCATTCTGAAATTGATTTTTTGATCAGTTAAAAATGTTGGTGATATACTTCTCTTGATGTAAATTATTCACAATTTGTTTCCAAATGTAGTGTTGGAAGTTCTGCCCAAAATGCTGGAAGCACTGGGAAGAGAATTTTGCGAATGGTGAATAAGATTGCTGCATCTAAATATTTTCAGCAGGTAAATTATTTTAAGTTGGTATTTTGAGTACAAGTGTTCTTTAATTTGACTCTAAAAAATTATTAAAAAGAAAAAATATAATTAGAAAAAATCTTGTGAATTTTTCTGCTATCTTTGTGTTTGATTTTCTTGCTGTGTTTAGTGCAATCATTCAATATCACAAGAATGGGAATGTTTGTATTTGCTTTGTGTTATTTTAGTTTTCATATATTGAATACATTTTTATATTAATTTATACACTTTCATTCAAATATTTTGACAATTAATAAAGAATAGCTTTTCCAAAGACTGCAGTAGATCTTGGCCCCCCATTCTTTTTGGATGTTTGTTCAGCAATTGCTCATTAATTGTGTAGAATTTATTTTTCTTTAATGTTTTGATTTGACCGTCAATTCTAAATAAGTTTTAATAAAAATGTTGTTTCAATGACAAGTTAATTTCTTCATTGTACTAGATAAGATATACATTTTTTGTATAACCTTAATATATTAATTTATTTTAAGGCTACTGATTATAAATACATTAAGCGTGCTATGGAAGAAGTATCAAATACACGTATAATTTTGTCTGTGGAAGTTAAAGGCCTGGCTGGAACTCTTACTTTGAATCTCCCTCCACCGCCTTCCGACCGATTATGGTGAGAGTATATTTTTGTTTCATAACATCATTGACCATAATTTTGGATTTTTTATTCCAAATGTATTGAATGTATAAATGTTCTGTTTGTTTTCTTTCATAAAAGGTATGGTTTTCGAGGTTGTCCTCATTTAGCTCTCTCTGCACGTCCAAAATTTGGAGAGAGGCAAGTGAATATCAGTCATGTTGTTAGTTGGATTGAAAAACAACTCGTCAAAGAATTTCAGGTATGCATGTTTTTTTATCATTGTGTAATTTGTTAAACTCTTATCTTGATATAAATAATTTATTAAAATAAACAATGAGCGAGAAATAATTACCTGCTTATGTTTATATCATTGTGCTACAATGTAATTTTTCCTTTCTTTAAAAAAAATATACTTTTAGTGAGGATGCCCTGAATAAATATTCTTGAAATTAATAAAAATTAAGATGTATATACCAAAAACATAATATCTTTCATTCTTTATAATTTTTAAAATGTTATAATTTTGCAGAAAAAAATGGTTCTTCCCAACATGGATGATATTGTTATTGGCCCAATGAAAGATGCTCTTCCTAAATGAAATTGTTTAAATCTTGACATTATGAGATGTGCAAAATCATGAATGTGAACTACATCACACTTCTGTAAATGAATTAGATGTATCAGACAGAAGACTAGGAAATGCTACATATCTTATAGATTGCATTCAGTAGGTGACTGAAGTATGTTTGTATAGTAGAAAAGTAAGTGTTTGAAATTAGTTTAATGAGTCAGAGAATGATCAACTGAGATATGTTTCATCATCTCCTTTGTGTCCAGTGTTCACCATAAGTAGGATGACATCTAATTGTTGACTTGACGGAACCACCAAGGAAATATTCTATGTTGTATTCTCTGTTTCAACATAGTATCTGTACGTACATTGTTCAGTGTGTAGAAGATACAATTTGGACCTAGTTGTGCTATTCACAAACTAAGTAGCCATAATTGTGTGGCTACTTAGTAGCCATAATTGTATTATTAATTCTCTTTTATGAAGGAAAAATCTTGGGAGCATAGCAGTTAGCAGTTCTGTTACTGTCCTGTTTGATTTTTTGTAGAGCTGTCGCTGTGTACTTCTGGCTTTCGTGGTTAATCTTCACCTTTGATGTTTTAGGATGTGGGATTAACTATCCAGTGCCTGGTTCTTTCAGCTGTATATAAATTAAGTAGATGCTTGTTTTTAGTGTTTTTCATGTTGTGGATATATTCAATATTGAAAAACAAAAATTGCACCATTAAAATGTAATAGGATGTTCAATATCAACATTACCTGTTTATATATGGAGAAAAGCAACGATTTGATGTTTGCTATCTATGTAGTTGGAAATGGATAGAACTGCCTGCCATCAGGTTTTTCCTTTGTAAGAAATTTACTGGTCTGAAAACTATAGTGTCATGTGTAGGAATCTTGCCTACTCAATCTCATTTAGGAAAATAGTAATGACAATCGCAGAGATGACAAGAAATGAAGTGCCCACAATAATTCTGAGAAAAATATTAAATTTTGCTTCAGTTCTGTGCAGTATTTTTTTGTTTCATCGAGGTGGTGTGGGTTTTCAAATCATGAAACTGAGACATTGTGATAAGTATAATGTTGCCTTCTATAGGAAATAGGACTGCGACATTAATTTGTATAGTCTTCTTTTCACTTTTTATATGTGCACTTAATTGCATTTGTAGAATTCTTCCTGTAGTGCTTTTTAGAAATTTTAGACTTTATCTTTTTAGTTTATGCATTAGTATTCTTATTCCTGCTATGTACTTTTTGTTAAATTTATTATAATGAGATATATATATGAAGGACAGAAAAGTACCTGTCTGAGTGCCAGATACAGAATGTTGTGAAATTTTTGCCAACATAAAATAAGTTTTGCTAATAATACACATGAAAATATGCAGTGAAGTGATTGAATTTTAGTCTTGCTATAATAGTTGGTTCTTTTCTAAGGCAAATATTAAATACTTGAACTTAAGTTAAGATCTTATGATCTACAAAATTAAATCCATGTACTGTGCAAAATTAATTTTCTATAAAATACAAATTTTGTATTAAGCTGTGCTTAAAAAAGGTTGTAGGTCAAGCATTGTACTTACATTTAAAATATTGCAATTACTGTTCAGTTTTTCATCTTGTATGTACTTATAACGGCTTTTTCTGAACTATTTTTTGTCATTACAGTTTTATTGTAACAAAACACTTTTTATTACTTGTTTATTCTCTCGCTTAGCAAATTTGGGTTTGTATACAAATTGAATTGAACATCAGGACATCAAGCAAATAGAATGTTGGCTTAAATAATAATTCAATTCCATTCAAACTGTGGGCAATTTCGAATTTCAGGGTTTACTAATTTATTTCTCCTAGGCTTGCTAATGTAAAATGCTCATTCAAAAGTTGGAGATACATATTCAAATGTTTTGTTACTTTCAAAGATGGTCTTTATCTTTTCCATCTGCTATTCCTTAACCATTCATAACTGTATTTTTGGTCACCCAATTTATAATTTTTGTCAGACATAAACTATTTCGTATATATGGATTAAGGAAAACAAGTACATGATTTTTTTAAGAATAGTTAAGCATTCAATTTGCTACTTTGGGGTGCTCATAACAAATTTAAATTTGACTTTATATACTCAAAATTCAATTATCCATGAAAAAGAAGTACCTTTTTACCAAAGAAAATAAACAATTGGAAAAACATCATTTTCAAAGTGAATGTGCAATCTAAACATTTAGTTTGAAAAAATAATACAGAATACTACATATATCCTCAAACATTTTAAAATGTATTAGCTCTTCTAATTTTTTCCCTTGAAAATGTTAGAGAAAATTCAAGAATTTGCTTGGTTTCTGATGGATTTCAATTGCTTATAGCTTTTGAATTTGCAATATAGTCATTCCAGAGAGATGATGTATATGATGTTAGGGTTGTGTTTGTTTTTGCTGTTTAATTGTTTTGTTTAGTTTCTCAAAATCTAGGATATATTAATCTTATATTTTTGTTACCTTGTAATCAACATTGCTCTTTATGTCAAAGTCTATTATATCATATACATAACTAAACAATATTTAAAACAGGGGTAATATCTCCTCAACAAGGACTATATCACCTTATATAATGGTTATTTTATTTGTTTTGTATTAACTTGAATATTTTATTTATAAATGTTCCAGCACTCTTGTGTAGTTGCGAATCTTTGCATTCTTCACAATTTAATAAAACGCTAAGGTGTAGTTTGCTTTTGTGATGTTTCTCAAATTCACAAACATTTCAGTAAGAAAGTTAATTTGGCTGACAAATTAATTGAAATCCAAAAATAAAGTGTACACATTCCTGAGAGTCGCGTTGTGAAGGCAAAGAAGCTTTAAGGAAAGTTCATTATAGCAGTAAGTAATGATTGAATACAGCTTTTATGATAGAATATTTTTTTAATTTCTTGGTTGAAAATGCAGCTTGATGAGGGTTAAGGAATAGAATGTGAATTAGTAAAGACTTCATGAAATAGTTTGTTAATAGGAACATGTGATTTCATAAAAGGATTACAAATTGTATCAAATTGTTTCAAAATCATAGATCTATTCCTAAAAAATGGTATGAAGAGGTTTTTTTTTTAAAAATGAGAAGTGTGAAATGACATGTTTTGCTCATCCTGACCTGTGTGTTTGGGAAACATCTGCTTTGAATAATTTAAGAATCAATACTCTCGGTGGCAGTGATTATATTTTTCACTTACAATTTATTGTGAGCAAATCATAGTTTTACTTAAAATGATAGGTTGGTGATGTTGGCTTCTTGCCTTGACCAATTACAGCTGACTGATGATTGCAGCACTTTTCTATAAAAAAGTTTTGTTTTAGAAAACACAAGTGCCAAAGTTAGGTTTTGCAGATTTCTTGCTAAATGCTCAGTGCAATTTCCACATGCAAATGCATGTTTCACTTGTGTTGCACTGTATTGGAGTGTATCTAGTTATCATGACAGTAGTTTATACTTGAAATCATTCTTGCCAGAAAGCAGTATCTTTTAAAACTGTATTCATTTTGTACTTAAAAACGACAATATGTCCATTTGCCCAATTTTATAATTATATCTGCAAGTGACCTGTTGAACTTCAATAAAATTTGGATTTGAATTTGAAACAAGTATGATACAACATTTTGTGAAAATTGGAAATCATAATAAGATTTAAGAGGACATCTTATTTTGGATTCGTACAAAAATGAGAATCTTTCCTCAGTTTTTGGGAAATCTTTACCACAGTTGGTACAGATTTCAAGTTCATATATTAATGATCATCCTGAAATAATTAATGAGTGAAATTGAGCTTGTGTTCCTTAGATAGAGTAATTCAGATTATATATGTATATGAATAAACATTGTACAGATTATATTATCCATGACTTTTTGAAATTGTTCAAGAGCTGCATAGCACTGAAACAGGTGCCAGATAGTAATGTTACTTATCAGGGTATGAATTCATGGTTGTTTTTTGGTTGTTTTGATTTGATTATATATCCTTTATACAAAATGTAAGCGTTATACTTTTAACATTGGTATTAATAGTTTCTTGCAGCTAGTATTGAAATCTTAGTATATTTTTTCAGAAAAAATAACTTTTGTGAAAATCCTCTTGGTTTTTCTGAGATGTGTATTTATAAAATTTTTATACGTATAAGAGAATTTTGTGAATTTTTAACTTGAAACTATATTTCCAAGAAGCAAATGACCAAATTTCTAGATTTTCAAAAGTGGTAATATCAAAGTAGAAATTCCAATGTTTTTATGATTAATGTCTTTGTTTGGTAACATCATTAATTAGAACAACTTATTTCGTATCTTCTTTTTAAGGAGTATATTCCATGTCATCTTCCCTCTTTACTTTTTATCTGAAATTTTTGTAAGTTTTTTTGGGGGTGCTGAATAGATGGTGTAGGAATTTCATAATTATGTTGTTTTAAGCTGATCTGGATACAAGTAGAAGTAATTTGATAAGCAACTGGTGTATTACTATAATTTAGTTCCTTAGTGCAGTTGTTGATTATTGCAAATGATTTTCTATGATCATTTATCATTTATTATCTAGTCATAGTCATGAAGATGTTGAACAATGACATTTGCTCTTTTGATTCAAGTTATTTGTGAGATTCACATTTATTCATGGTGATTGGTGACTACACATAAATAGGTATTTTTACTTACATTTCCTGTATTCAGAATCAGAACATCAGTTTCCCTCTAATAAATTCTTTGGGCTTGTGTTAGCTCTAATTATTTGGAGAAATTGATGGTATGTACCATAGTTGAGTTTCAGTATTTTCTATTGTTGGGGATACCAATTTATTAGTATTCAAACACACACACACACACACACACACACATGTTGGTGTTCATAGGTAACACATACTATTTTATATACAAAATTTTATTATATGAAACAGCCACATGCTATCTGAACCACAATGATTCTTTGTCAAGTTGTTGAACTGACAGGATCTGTGATGTCTTCTTTTGTGGAATATGGAATGTACTCTGTGATCATGAAATAATGTTCAGAGGATGTCAAGAAGTTTCTTCACATATTCGAGAATCTAGTTGCTGGAGCAAAATTTCATTACACATCTTATTAATCAACAAGTAGCTAACTACTAGTTGACTTGTAATACGATAGTCTTTCAATGATCGCAAATTTATAAAATTGAATTATGACATGCAAATGAAATGTGTATTATCAGTTTCCCTGTTTCTCGATGTCTGGTTTGAACTGAGATTCTGGTGAAGCTACTTTCTGTGACACCCTCATCAGACAATATTTTGATTTTAGTATGCACTTGCTAGTCAGATTTCTGTGGTAATGTAAGTGGTTATGTTCAATATTGCTGTAAATGTGTGTATGTGCACAAGCAAAAGAATATCAAATTAATGTGGCTATTTCCCTTTCTGGAAAAGTAACCCACTCTGTTATTTTGCTTCTCTTGAATTAATAAGGGTTTTAGACATACTGTATAAGCATAAATGTTAAATGTTTGTGATATTTCATCAAGCCAAACTTGTTTTAAAATACCAAAGGCTATATTATAACTGTTAAAAATTCAGGAAACTGTTGGTATCTTGAACAAAGGAATAAAGTGTTTGTATTTTTCTGCTGTGAGATGTAGAGTATTGGTAATAAATTGATTTATGATAATTGTTTTGTTTTTATTTAAATTTATTCCAAGGAACCTCTCTTGTATAAATTGTGTGATCTTTCATATACTCCCTCCCTTCTACATCATTGTTACTCCCTCACTTCTACTCATTGTATATATAATTAATTAAATCAACTTCAACTACCATATTATTCTATCTAATTTTTACCAACTGGCTTATGTGCCATTAATTGCCCAGTCATCAATATTTTTGGCTAGCTCAATTATAACTTTCAAATTGTATTCTATCTCAGGGGTTTTCCTTTTATTGTGTGAACTTGAAAATTCACCACTCTATGAGGTCTCGGCTGATAGAATTTACAGTGAGAAATTTCTTTTGGTAACTCTAACTTACTAAAATGAAAAACCTTATTCAAAATTTTTAATGGTCAACAATTCACTGTTCCACCATATATTTTTAAACATTTACTTTGGATGCAATAGAACAAACAACACTAATGAACAGATAATATAATAATAATGACAAATTCTAATTACAAATAGAAAACATACTAAAAAGCTAATTAACAATGCAATCATCTCCATTCATTCATCATACATGCAGATCTGCCCTTTCATTAACTGACTGGAATTAATGGGCATTAAAGTTATTGGTGTTGTTTTTGTTTTGTTTTTTTTTTCTTTTAAGGTATTAAAAAATTAAGTAAATCTTGGACCTTGAACATTTTTCAGTCCTTTTTAAACCTATTTCCTTTTGTTGATTTTGCTACCCACTTGACTATCAAATTAATTCTGGTTCATTAGCTGTCAATCACAGCATCCTTTACAACAGGCCAAAAAGTGCAAAGTAGCAACACAGTATTGCAATGGAATAGGGGCCTTTTGTTCTTGAATGGCAAAAAACGGATATTTAAGAAAAACTTCATGATTTTAATGTTTAAACCAAAAGGCACTCTGCCTTGTTAATTTTTCTCTATCGTACATTGCTATTATCAATACTTACCAGAAGAATCATAATATTATACATAATAAATACACTATTCACAGTGCAATACGATTTCTAAATGTACCTTTTAATTTGTCATTTAATGTTCCATTACAAGAAGAATAACATCCAAAATAAATAAAATTGTATAATTGAACAAAATGAGAATTAGAAATTGCAAAATCAATTTATCAATTTATGGCAAATAAAAAATCAATTTATGACAATGCAAAACTATTTCTCAAGACACGTCATTATTTGTTGGAGAAAATTATTCATTTTTGGTTTCTTACTGAGTGAGTTTTTTCAGATCTCAACAAGTTATTTGTCTTTCTAACATTGTTGTTTAATAGAATATTACACATAATTCTCACTATAAAAGGGCACAAATTGCTGCTGGGATTGACACAAACACATACTTCATAAAAATTTCACCACCCGCTTATTTGGGTATTTCAAATTAAAGGTCTTAAACAGGGTTGTCCGAATGGCAACCCACAAAATGCAGACATCTGTGCCATTTATTGTGACCTGCAAAATGTTATTAGTCAAAAGTTTAAGTCCTTTGCTTGCATGTTGGGCGAGAGCATTGCGCACATAGCACATACACCCTACCGGTGTCACCTCCTTTAATGTTAGGTTTTGTCAACCTTAAGGAACTTTTTTTCTGGTAAGTTCAAAAATTTAAAAATCATCCCAATGTATTTCACTGCATTTGAATGGTATCACTAATGGTTCCAATCCTCCTCCTTGTTTCAGAGCAACCAGGTAATCTGCAGAGATCAACAATACAGGGAAGTCAGGTGTGGGTCACCCGACTTGCAAGTTGGACACCCCTGGTCTAAAATATTCAGTAAGTCTATAGAATATGTATATATATAGTAGAATAGTATGTGTGTGTGTGTGTGTGTATATATATATATATATATATATATATATATATATATAAACAGCAGTAACATTAACATACATACATACGTGCTGCATGTGGTGTGTGTGTAACACACACAGCACACACAAACAAACAACACTCGCCCACGCCCCTCCCCAGCGCGCCCCCACCTCCCACACCTGCCACCACCCACCCACACAACCTCGCCATCCCCCCCGCCATCCCACACCCCCGTCCACACACACACACATCATATATATCACATTTATTACAAAAATTCTTACTCAATTGCAACTTGCAAGTACATTGATATAATAGTTATAGAACGCATGTGACTACACCTTGATGATTGATGAGATAAAGTTATTATTGAATATAAAATAACAAAACCTTCTTCCAATTAGAAATATAATGTTTCTGTTACTATTTATATTTTTATTGAAAAAGAATATAATTGTTAGAATTAAAAACAAAATTTCTGTCTTTAACTAAAACTTTATTCATCTACTTTTTTAAGACTTGAAGAGCAAAGTCTTTTATTGCACTCTCAATGTCTATACCATTACATACCTCTTATTCAGTAGATAAGATAGCCAAATTGGGTACCCTTTAAGGACTCATTGGTGATCTTAAATAATTTTTAATCAGTTCCAATTTTGAAAACCCCCTCTCACAGCTTGCATTGCTTATACTATTACGGCAATAGTGAGGAATACTTGGAGTATTATTATAATATAGGGCAAAGTATCTTCCAGCTTGGATTTGAACAATAAATTTAATAATTCAAGAAGGTTCTCATTCATTAATTGATTTTCTTTGCCTGTGGCAGCAACAAAAGTTCTCAGTTGAAGTTGTTCCAACTTCAAGTTCTGCTCCTTGATTTCTTGTCTTGTCTAAATTACATTTAGTATGGTTTGAATCTAGTAATATAACCGTCGTTAGATAAGCAAACTTATCTGACAAATTCTGAAGCAGCTACAGATTTTTTTACAATTAACTTTTACAAGATGATATTATTATTATTATTATTATTATTATTATTATTATTATTATTATTATTATTATTTATTGTGAAATTTTGCCTCCCCCTTAAAGTGCCGCCTGGGGCGGGCCGGCCCTCCTGCCCCCACTTCGCCAAGCCATTGCAGACGTTTTGCCGTCAATCGATTTTTCGGTATCAAGGGCCCTCAAAACATGGCGTATGACTACCCAACGTGTTACAAAACGTAATTTACTTGAAGAAGAAGAGGTACATATAGGAACAAAATTTATCGTTCGTTACCAGGGTCCGGCAATAAGGGTTTTTCTATCGAAAATATGACTTTTTATCGGAGCATTACAATACTTTCTCTATACTGTGTAAGGAGTAAGTAACGCCAAAGTAAAAAGTGCCAGTTTTTCGACGGAATAACACGTATTGTGGGTCCCTAAGTTTGAAAAAAGGTTGATTTTTCTTGCTCCTACACATAGTATATTACCTTCTTTTATTTGCAATACAGTCAAAGGACCAAACCTTACTTTCTATAAGAACCTATATATATATATATATATATATATATATATATATATATATATATATATATATACACACACTGTATCAGAACTGATACATAAAAGATGGTTTCTAATAAATTTCGATAGAGGCCAATGGTGTTGCAGCAAGACAGCTACCTAATAGATCGCTAATACCAGTGCAATTTTAATCTAATAACAATGTACTGTAAAATGAAATGAAATAAAATCTCAGTATTTAATTAAAACTTGAACCAATTACATTAAAATAATCCCCTTAAACACCGTGGTTTGTATAAAATTGATATTTTTCCTCTTTCAGAGGGATTGAGTATGATGAAAGCTTGGGCTACATCAAGTAGTTTGCTAGTAAATATTTTTTTTAAATTATACTTTCACTGCAGTTATATATTACTTTTCTTCAAAAAAGTTATTGAAAAAAACATTTGAATACATTTTTATGATAAATTGATGAACACTGACATTAGTAAGCACGATATTTTAAATAAAAACTATTCGATGGTTAAGAAATTAATTAAGAACTTCGTTAACACCGACATTTCACCTCTTGTGCCTCATTGTACCTTTGCGGAAAAATCTAATTTTCTGATCAATTTCACTGGACCTCCCCACGCTCAGAGAAAACTCAACCGTGAGTTAAAAGTCAGAGGTCGTTCCATTTTTTCGCAGAAGGTGACTTCGACGATTCATGAAGTAATTAAGAGGCGAAACAACGCCCGAATGCTTCGTAATTAAAGAACGTCATTAGCGGGTTGTTCGTCTGTAAAAGGACCCGAAGGCGAGCAGTGTTGGGGTTTCGTCTCATCAATTCGCAGAGCGGTGGATCCCGCGTTTTTTTCAGTTGGGGTATCCCCTCGAAGATTAATGGGAGGCAATCAAATGGAAGAGAAGTTTACACTGAAGTCCATCCGTTAAACTCCCCACGAATTTAGTGCCATATGTTAAAGTAAGAATGGTGAAAGGGGAAGCCTTTTGCGATATAATGGAAGAGGGGCAAATACAAAAAAAATGTCTCCAAAAATAGACATGTCTTGGGCAGTGGAAACTTGATATCTTAGGTCGCACTGAAGCGGCCACATCGTTAAGGAGTGGTGCTAATGTGAAGAAAAAACTCTTCGACTCAGGGGTGAGAACTTAACTCCCCGGTGCAAGTCTACTTCAGATCGGATCTCTGTAGATGTGCTTATAATTCCTGCCTGCGCTATTACCACAAGACGTGGCCGACTATTTACCCAGTAATGCTAAAATAATATTGTACGTTTATTTTTTGACTGCGTTAAAAATTCATTGGCAGATAATTTTTTGTGGTTGAAAATAACTCATCTTCGATAGCTTGGGCTGGTCGAAACTTAAGATGACTTTCTCGCGCATCGCGCAGACTTTCTCGAATTTCATATCAGGAGAGGTGGCTCAGTTCAGAACTGTTCAGACACTTCAGTGCCTGACCCGGAGGTCTAGGTTCGATTCCCAGCGATGGCACGATTTTCGAGACTAGCTAGATAGCTAGTTTGAATTAAGTCTCTTCCTGGAGGAGAATTCTTCCTGCCGTTTGCTCTGATCGGTAGTTTTCCGTGAGTTCTCCGATCATTACCAGGTGAATGTCGGCGCAGAATCATAAAAAACGGGATGTGGACAAA